TCCAATTTTTAATGTTTTTAGGGGGAGTCGATATTTAATTCCACGGAGGCGATGTTTAGCAATTACTGGCAAGAAAATTTTGTTATACCTGACATTGTTTAGATTTACAGGGCGATATTTAGGGTTTTATTTAGATCTATAGGGTGGTGTTTACATCTGAGGGTGGTGTTTACATCTGAGGGCAATGTTTAGATATTATACTGAGGCCGTGTTACAGTTTAGATGAGTTTTAAGTCGAGGCGATGTTTAGCCGGTATACCCATTTAAAATGGATTGTTTAAAACTGCACAAAAGGCGATATTTAGATCTAAGGCGATATTTAGAACAACTAAGAGTCTTTAAAAGGTGAATACTTCAGTCAAATGAGGCGATGTTTAGCACGTTTTTTAAGTAAAAGGCGATGGGGCATGATACAAAACGGTTTATATGTATATATACTATGATAAAAGACTGTGTTTACTTAAAAGATAATAATAATTTTTAAATGAGGCGATGTTTAGCTCAGTCATCATGCCTATTTACAATACAAAACAAAAGACGATTGCTTAGAACTACAGGAGGCGATATTTAAATCTATTGGGCAATGTTTAGACAATAAAAGGCCTGAGGCGATGTTTAAGAATAGTATAATAACAAAATAAATAATGAAGGGCGTGTCATTGTTGCTATGGTAACATTAACCACGATCACACATGGCGAGTTCCAGCAAGCACAGTGCCAGCTCCATTGCAGCTGATATTGGAAAAGCCATTAACTCCATACTTAAGAAATATGAAGAAGAAGAAGATGATGATGACTTTGTCAGTGAGCTTCCGCCTAGGAAGAAAACAAAGTATGGTAAAACCTCCTTTGTGCTAACTTTTTCACTTGCAATAGTACTAATAATAATTGTTATTATTATATAAACCTAAAGTCTTGTTTTAATGCTTTGTTTTTTCCTTGTTGCTTTAGCTTTTGTAGAAATTAGTGATACATTAATTTTAATAAGTTATAACTATTATAAATGTGTTATTGTTGCTGTCAGTTATTTCTATTATTGTTTTTGCTATTATTAGTATTATTGTTATTATTATTATTATTATTGTTGTTGTTGTTGTTGTTATTATTATTATATTGTTCATATTGTTACTATTATTATTATTATTTATTATCATCCTCATTATTATTATTATTATTATTGTGCATTTCATATTTTATAGAATATTACCATCAAGTTTTGTTAAGAGTAAGGGTAAGAATAAAGCTACACCAGCTGTTCAAAGTAACAACTGCAGGAAAGTGACAACATATCATCGTGATATCATCTGTCTACCGATGTCGTATCGTACCAATTCCTGCAGCATTCCTATACCTAGAGATCGAAATGATCTCTCTCGAAGTGGACTCATTGGGAAAATTACTCTCACTTCTGAAATGCAACAAGATGATATCTTTAATGAGATACGCTCTGTCTTTCACAAACCAATGAATGATTCTTCTACCTTTTCGTTTCAAGTCCTGCAACCTATTGGAGGGAAAGGAAAAGGGCTCACTATTCCAGCTAAGTCATCTTCTTATCATTGGACTGCCTGTTCTATTGTACCAAAGAATGCGAAAGTTCCTCTGTACATTCTTGCTAATGAACCGCTTTTGAAAGTATTGTGAATTATTTACTTTTTGATACATTTCTGATATGGTTAGATTGAGGTAAGTGACAGCGAAGAAGAAATTGTTGACTTAACAGTGATAATCAGTCTAATGCTAGTGGAAAGTAAGACAACCGTGTGATGATGATGATAATTCAATTT